ATCCATACCCCCCGGCCATAGGCAGGGAAAAAACAGCGAGCCGAAAGGATGAGAAGGGCCGTCGGCTTAATAATTAAGCATGTTGATGTGTCTCGGCAAGATCAACGAGGTACCTGGTTACAGGTGACTGGTGTGGGTGGTGTTTTTTTTTTCTTTTTTTTTTTTTCCTTTGTAATCACAGCCCGTCTTTGTTGGCGCTGCCCATCCCGGTCCTTCCGTTCCTAGTATTGGCAAACTATCTAGGCGCCCTAGCCCCCAGATGACTTGTCTTTTTGCCTGCTAGGGCTGATGCCGGGGGCTTCATTCGAAGGATCTGAACAAGCGAAAAAAAAAAAAAAAAAAAAAAAATAGAAGAAAGGATTCGAATTCCGCCTTTTCGTCACAGTCTGCATGCATGCAGATAAAATGCCAACAATCACTTTCTTTGTCGGGAGCGCCAGACCAGGATTGGCAAAATCCCCGAGTGGGTAGGGGTGGTAGGTGGTGATTGAGACGGTGGCGGCGGCGCATGCACCCGATAGCCGCCTTGGGCCTGCAGCAGGCGCGAGCCCTTTTTGTGGAGGGCAGGGGAGGGTGTAACACATACGGCCTAGTCCTCGTTTCCGCTAGCGTTTTCGGTCTTTTTTTTTTTTTTTCTTGCTTTGTAGGTCTGGGCGTGGGCGGTAAAACAACAAAGCAAACGGGCCGCAAAAAAAACACATGCTGCTTACATATCAATATTCGCTACTGACGACCGTTTGCGGCAAGTGCCCGACCGGGGCGGGCATTGATTAGACCGATTTCCACTCTCGTCTTACGGACGTTATGTATGTTACCCATGCACTCACTGCACGGTCCCCACCATTTGCCAACGCCGCCACGCATTGACGATGGGGGATAAGATTTGAGCGCAGGCGAGCAGGTCTTTGCCAAGAGAACCGCAAGCCGAGGCATATTCGAGGGTGGCACGTCAAACACAGTAATATGGATGGGGTGTTGCATAACGGGCGGGTGGTTCGTTCGTTGCGTCAATTTAAGCTTGGATTAAACAAGTCTGCCTGAACGCTGGCTAAGCCCCTGACAAATTGCAGTTCCCTCAGTCCAGCAAGCTTGTTTGGACTCCTTCCAGAACGAGGGCCCCATCCCCATCGCCACACGCTTCTGGAGAGCCCGCCTCTTGGTCCCTGGGCCCTCCACTGAGACGCCGCCTGTGCGGGTGCCGTCTTTGATGGATGGCTTCGTGGTGTTTCCTCTGGAGATCAGGTTCATCGTTGTTAGCTTTTGATGTGACATGCCTAGCAGTAGCAGTAGCAGTAGGAGCACTCACCATGTTGTCAACTCTGCTAAACTTGCGCCCGCACCCCTCGGCGGGACACTCGATGTTGGGGTTATGCGACCGCATGTGCCGCCTGCAGTCCTTTTCGGACGAGAAGCCGTTGTAGAAGCGCGGGCAGCCGTCGATGCTGCAGAAATGGCTCTTTGTGTGCGCCCGGTAGTGCTTCCGCAGGTCGCACGCCCTCAGGAAAGTGCGCGTCGACCCGCACCCCGGGTGCGTGCACCTCCAGCTGCCGCCTGGCCCCGTGGGCTGACATCCCATCTCGCGCACGTCCTCGGGCATCCAGTCCGGCCCTGCCCGTGTGCGACCTGCCGACGACGAGCGCCCGCGCAGTGCGGCTGTGGAGGGAGGGGAGGACGTGGTGGTAGCTTTAGCGGCCGCAGGTAGTGGCGGAGACCTTCCTGAACTCGCGTCCGTCTCTGTTTCTGCTGGCGCTGCTCTTGCTGTTGACGGCGCCGCCGTGCTTGTGTTGTTATTGCTGCTGCTACTGCTGTAAATCCCGGCTACTTGGGCGGCTGCGCTCGTCGGCGCTGTTGTGAAAAAGTTCCCCGCCGAGGCGAGATCAGGATCCAGCAGCTCCGGATCCCACATCCCTGCATGCGAGGTTCGGCATAACACCGGCTGTATCTTGTCGGTCATCTAACAGTCGATTCGGCATTTCTCCCCTTATACTCCGTTCGGAAACTCACTGTCTCCAAGGTTAACCAAAACCTCGACCGCCGCAGCGCATGGCGTAATGCGCTGAACGAGTCGCTGTGCTGCAGTCGCGGCGGCAAGAGCTCCGAGGATCGGCGCTCGCTCTGCTGGCCGTCCTCAAACCTGAACACGGGGTCGACCCAGGCGTCCTCGAAGACGGTTGTGGCGTCCAGCGAGTCGGACAGGACCAGCCTCGGGGTGGTGCTCAGCCTGGATTGTTCCGCGTTTATTTCAGGGGAAACTGCGAGGTGCTGTTGCTGAGCCTGTGCTGCTGCTGAGCTGGCCGTCAAGGAGGTGATGTCGTGCGCGGTGAGGGTTTCTTGTGGAGGAAAGTCCCATTGCTGCAGCTGTTGGAGGTAGTATTGGGAGTGTGCGTTTTGCGTGTATTGTTGCTGGCGATGTTGTTGGTGTTGGTGTTGCGGCTGATAACTCCTGGCGTGATCTCCTTGCGTGGGCGCCATGGTGTGAAAGTGGTCTAGTGCTGGGTCGATATTGTTGTCAAGTAGGGAGAGAAGCCGCTGCTGCTGCCGTTCTTGGAGCGTCGGCTCCTCGCTTCCCCACGACAGCCTCCAATCCTGATTAGGCATGGTGCCATATGCCTCGGACAACCTGTCTGTCTGTCGGACCGGCAAACACCCGAGCATTGTGAGATGTTTATAGAGCGGCGCGGCGAAGGTGGGTGTAGAAGATCTCTTTTGCAGCGCAGGAGTGATGTAGTGTACAGTTGGTCGGAAGGAATGCTGATGCCGGGGCTATGTGGTAGATAACGGGCAGAGAGAGGCCACGGGAGGCAGGTGAGAGGATGCCCAACTTGCTAAGTATTCGGACATAACGGTGTCATTCTATCTATTAGTGGTGACCGTGGCTGGACTAGGCCGGGTGGAGGGCGGGCAGGCTGGTGACCCCTCCCCCTTTCTGGGCCGTGTCCCGCCTGGCCCTGGCCCCTGACCCCTGGCAGGCGGGATCGGCGCAGGTCGCGCCTTGCAATCGGCACCCACAAACACCACGGTGCGCGGTGACGAAGGTTGAGCCAGACATTGCCACGGCCAAAAGACGCGGATTTACTTTGGCAAGCTGCCCACACGATGGAGCGGAGATACGCATTAAACGTCTAGGCTCCGATATAGCCCGCTCTTGGGGGCTGAGCCATACGATATTCCCAAACCAGCCAGGGCCGACGAGATGCTACTCTGGGCTCACGGTGTCCCATCTAAAGGATCGAGGTTTGGCAGGCCAGGCCTGTTGACAAAAGGCCCACGCAGAACAGACCCCTGGGTCGAGCGGTTCGGGCGAAAAAAAAGAAGGCGCGTGAATGGCTGGAAAACGAGACGAGGGGTGTGGTTCCGTGTGGTGTGTTCCATGTCGTCGTCCACCCATGGAAAGAGAGACGGGCAAGCGAGCTACTGTTGCCGACGTGCAGAGGTCCCGTGCCAACCCGGCTTGGCCTGGCTCCCGTCCGTCGTGCGTGCCTTTCTGCATCTTCTGCCGGCTGGGCCTGGGATCTTTGTGTTACGTGTGACGGATGTCACCTCTTCGCGGGGGGGTGATTTTGGCTTTGTGGTCGTGCTTTCGGGGGCGTCAGCCTGCCAGGTCGCGTGGAGAAAGGGTGCCCTTGCTACCGTTAGGACACCCCACAAATCCTAATCCCGCCTGGGACGGGGAGAAAAAAAAAACAAATATCAGACAAGCTCGTCCGAACATGGCAATTCGTACATGCGTGGAGAAGCCAGAAGCTCAGACCCCTGGCTGAGGCTCAATTTCTTGGGTCGTGAGGTGTGGGACCAAATCAGCAGCGTCGATTGGCCAGGTCGTTTATTTCGGGCTGCCATTGGCCCAGCGTCTGCTGCCTCCCCCACTCTTGCCCTCCCACCCGACGTTCGAGATGTTCCAGCGGATGTCTGCCGTGGAGGGATGGATTCGATGCCGAGACGCACAGTCCCTCAAAAATCTGACAGAAGTGAGATGGTCTGTGTTCATCATAATGGAGCCATCCACATGCCCCCCGGAGCAAGGCTCCGACCCGACGACCGTCATATGTCCGACAAATAGCAATCACCGCAAAATAGGACGTGCGAGATGCGAAATGGACCACCTCAGGCATGGATGTCCCAGCAAGCCTGCAATGGGGCAGACCCAGCCGGGAGCGCCCTCTAATGGGCCAGTTCGCTTGTCAAGCCAATCCTCCGCCTCCAGCATTGCCCACAGGCACCCGCCGTTGACCTCTGGGTGTGGGTATGTAGGTGGTCGCATCGTTATTTTTGTTTGCATACCCTGTTTTTTCTTTTACTTTGTCTCCTCTCCTCCTCGCCGCACGCGCAACACATCCATATTCTCAACGAAGCCCTCACCTGTGCATCGCTTCCGACGCTGCAATTTCACCGTTGCCGTCCTGCCTATTTGGGGTGGGGATCTATCAACCGACACTGCCTGCTTGGCTCGGCTTGGAAATCCTGAGCGTGTCAAGGACCCCACCACTGCCCAGGCGGCAGCGGGTTTATCTTGCCATATCCAGTAAGACGCCGGTCGCTATGATTCACACCTAGCCGCCAATCCACCACACCGAACGGGACGAAAGGATTTCTTGTAATTAGACCAATGGGTCGAGGAGCAGAGCAGGCAGAGCAGATGGTACTCTGAATCATGGCGGCGCGTAGGACAAGCACCTGCATGACATGGTGTTGCCTGTCAATGTTAATTCAGAGTTTGCCTGCCCCGGCCCGGCCTCAATCTCGTGCGGCCACACTCTCAGCCCTAAACGGGCTTTGCACAACCGAGGCTGAGCAAATTTGAGGACGTGGCGCAAAGGCCTCTACCCCAGCCACCGTTCGTGTTTATTTATAAAAAAGGTACCGCCCTAGGCAACATTTGGGACAAGGTTCGCGTCTACAGTACACAAACGGCTAAACCCTGAAAAGGATCCCTGCTTAAACCCGAACGCGGGGAAAGACTTCCACCCTAGAAACAGAGAGAAAAGGTAAAAAAACTAATCTGGGCGTGGCAAGACTCGAACTTGCGTTTCTTCGGCCACAACGAAGTGTACTAACCCCTATACGACACACCCTGTCTTGTTCCCGACGAGCCTGCTGCGCCACTCGTGTTTCTCTTACGTTTGGTCGTGGTGTGGTGCACTCGGCCCGACGCGGGGGTTTTCAGCGCTTTTCGCGGCACGCATGACGCAATTTGCTTCGCAGCTTTCCTCGCACATGTGAGCAAACTATGAGGTGATGAGGTACCCATGCCTGCCAGCGTATACCACACAAATGGTTATCTCTGCCTGATGTATTGTGTGGGTGGTGATAGCAACACGATCCGTTGGCTGGTTGCCTCCACCACATTCGTTGAACGTATACCTACGTACATCCAAGAAGGACAAATTCCTCATCTTTTATAGTATCCAAGCTAAACCCGGGCCCCGGCTTTTCACCCTCAGTATAGCAATATTGCCCAGTTAGCATCAAGGCTTTGATAATAGCCTCTATTGCAAGAGTGTTGCTGAGTGCTGGCCTGGAAACGTCAGATGTCAGCACTGCCAGATGCCGGCAAAGCCCACTCGCCACCACCGCACCTGAAGGAAAGAGGTGTGGTCGGACCCAGGAAGCAAGCGGGCAAATGGAATATACATCAGGAGGATTATTGCCCAGATACGGGCGGCTACCTGGCCCACCCGTCCGTCCATCCGAACCGGCTCGGACTGGCAGGCGGGGTCGTCTCGCTTCGATGCGAACGTACATCTAGAAGTATTCCCACCACGCGGGGGATCGTGAGAGCCGTCTCCATGGGACGAACGGCCTTGTAAACTGCACGACATGTATGCTTAAACTTCTGAGGTCATCAGGGAGTCCCGGTTCTCGAGCCCGAACCCAGACCGTGGCGGACCGGGCCGTCGTCAAGCCGACCGCCCAATCAGAGCCATGCGCTCGTATACAAACACCGAGCTCCTTTCCAGACGAATACCTAGGTATCCAGGGGCAGCTCAACATGGGCGCGTTGCCCGCAGACCCACCAATCCTCGGACTGACGAACAGATACGCAGCTTCCCCAAGTCCTGACTTCTTCATTTAGAGCGCCCCCGCAGCACACCTTCCTTCCTTGCCCCTGTTCCACTCGGCACAACGGATAAGACAGTATCACGAAAGCGGCTCCTGCCGATCAAGGCAACTTCTCGCCCTTTCTCGTGGCCTGCCCAACCAGCGAGTTGGTCGTGTCCTCGGCGTACCGCTTGTACACAGCAATGTACAGCTCGTCGTCGCTCCACGTGTTGGCAACACATGGTCGGTTCACAACAGCGTCGAACCAGATGCGCCAGCGCCGCCACACGGATCCGTCGGCGTCGCCGCTGTCGCCCTCCTGGGCCCCTCGGCTGGAAACCCAGTGCCGCCGGTCTTGTAATGATCGATCAGCCAAAACCTCTTGGCCCAGGGCGCCAAGCTGACGTCGACCAGGCTGAATTGGCCGCCGAGGAACCAGGGGCCGACACTGCCTCCAGTGCCACCACCCTCGGCCGGCGCCATCTCGCGCACGAGCGTCTTGATACGGTCGTGAAGCTCCTGGCGCGCCTGATCAAGGCTGTATGGCTTTTCGGCCGTGTGCTGCAGCAGCTTGTAGTAGCTGGGGACGATCTTGTTGGAGATGTGGTCGATCCAGATGCGACAGCGAGCACGCTCATAAGGGTCGCGCGGCATCAGGCACGGGCCGTGCTGGGCCTCGTCTGCGAAGGCCTCGTCCAGATACTCGCAGAGGACGATACTCTCGTACAGCGGCTTCAGCTCCTGCTCCTGCTGGCCGGCGCGCATGGCGGGCCGGGGAACGGCCAAGGTGGGAACGAGGCCGCGGGGGTTGAGGGCGAGGAACTCAGGGGATTTGTGATAGGGGTTGATCTCGATGTACTGGTACGGGATGCGCTTCTCTTCCAGCACCATCCAGGCGCGCTGGACAAAGGGACAGAACCAGCCCGAATACAGCTTGAGCGGATGCTCGGCCGCGTGGGCTTTGACAAGCTCCGCGGCCCGCCCCGTGGCATATTCGTGAATGGAAGTGTCCACTTGTGACATTATGAAAGCTTTTGGCAACCTTCAGCTGCTGGGTTGGGAAAAACAAAGAGAGAAACACAGGCCAGGGAATGCCAAGGGATAACGTATGTATACCCGGAATTTGGGCAGGCACGGCTGAGGTCGAGACGTCACACAGACGTAGGCGGAGTGACGTGGCGTCGTAAACGTCGGCCGATCGGGCTGCCCGGATTCCCCCGCCTTGCCAAATGGGCCCCGTCGGTTGGTTCGCTCCCGCGGGGTATTGGTCCCCTGGAGTCTTGGGTAAGGGTAATTTGGCCGGTGCGGAGTATTGGGGACCCCTAACCTCGAGCACAAGCACAGCAGGCCGTGACCAGGCCAAACAGGGTCTTGCAAAGGTTTATGGGCGTATGAACCATGCAATAGGCGTTGGTGCACGAGCTGGTCCGGTGGGCGCCGCGGCGGCGGCGTCCCTTGGGGAACGTTTTGTTCTTTAATACCTGCGGCAGCCGGGTGCCCGAGGCTTTAGGGGCTGTCCTCGTCGTCGTTTTCGCAGTCGTTGTCGTAGTCGTCCAGGCGCGCCCACGCCACTCGGGATGTCCCATGTTAGTCAGTCCAAGTCGACGACGGGTGTGGCCTGGCTGATCGGTTTTCTGAGCGAACATATCTGGGGGTTGGATTCTTATCATTCTTAAAGACCTCCCAAGAACGGTCGGCTCTGCTCCGTGTGCTTCCGCCAGGCTTTAGCAATCCACCATTCCCGGTAGCGGGCCCGCACTGCATGCAGGGAATGTGAATTCGACCCAGATTCGGCGATCCAGAACCTGCTGAGCTGCAGTCTCTGCAGTTACAGCCTCAACGGAAGCTGGCGACCCCGCTCTGCCGATGGGCGATGCTTGGATGAGAGGCGCTGCAACGTTAGCGCCATGTCGTGCTGGTGCATCCACTGGCGTATGACATTAAGCAGCTGGAGCTTGGTTCAGAGACCCCACACCAGCCGCAGATTCAGAGCCCGCACTGTACGAACCACTTTACGCGTCGACACGACGCGGTTTGAATGTGGCATCACCAACAAAACGTCACTCCCAGCTCTCAGGAACAGGACAGCCTCCTCTCAACCCACGAACCCAATCGAGACCAAGAACCAGAAAAATGTCCGACTTTGAAGATGAGATGGACATTGACGTCCCCGCCAAGTCCAAGGATGTCACCTTTTCAGCAGAGACCAAGGGGAAGAGGAGTGCGGCAAACCTGCCCGTCGAGGCCGAGGACAGCCTCCCATGGTGCGCATACACACAGATATAAAATAGATATGAGGCATATAAGACTGACATGCTCTTTCCACGCCATCCAGGGTTGAAAAGTACCGGCCGGTGAGCCTCGCAGACGTGTCGGGCCACCAGGATATCCTCGCCACCATCAACAAGTTCGTCGACAGCAACCGGCTGCCCCACCTCCTGCTCTACGGGCCCCCGGGCACGGGCAAGACGTCGACCATTCTGGCCCTGGCCCGACGCATCTATGGCGCCGACAACATGCGGCAGATGGTGCTGGAGCTGAACGCGTCGGACGACCGCGGCATCGACGTCGTGCGCGAGCAGATCAAGACCTTTGCCTCGACCAAGCAGATCTTCTCAATAGGCCGCAGCGCCGCCTCATCATCATCAGCAGCAGCAACAGCAGCCGGATCCTCCTCCTCGGCCCCCTCAGCCGCGCGCGGGACGGGTACGATGGCGTCGTACAAGCTCATCATCCTGGACGAGGCCGACGCCATGACCAACACGGCGCAGATGGCGCTCCGGCGCATAATGGAAAAATACACGGCCAACACGCGCTTCTGCATCATCGCAAACTACTCGCACAAGCTCTCCCCCGCGCTGCTGTCGCGCTGCACCCGGTTCCGGTTCAGCCCGCTCAAGGAGGGGGACATACGCGTGCTGGTCGACCGCGTCGTCGACGAGGAGGGCGTCAACATCGTGCCCGAGGCCGTCGACGCCCTCGTGCGCCTCAGCCGCGGCGACATGCGCCGCGCCCTCAACGTGCTGCAGGCCTGCCACGCCTCCAAGCACGCCGCTGCGCGAAGCCGGGCGCGCCTCCTCTGGAACCCAACGAGAAGGTGGACAGGGACGTGGTGACGGTCGAGTCCATCTACACGTGCATCGCAGCGCCGCCTCCCGACGCCATCAAGGAGATCCTCAGCACGCTGCTGGGCACCAGCGACGTCATCCAGTGCCTGGGCACCATCAACGCCCTCAAGGTGTCGAGGGGCCTGGCCCTGGCGGACATCATCACGGCCCTGTCCGAGGAGGTGGTCAAGCTCGAGGTCAAGCCCGAGGTCATGATCCAGTGGCTCGACGGCCTGGCCCAGATCGAGCACAGGGTCGCCGGCGGCAGCAGCGAGGTCGTCCAGACCGGCGCCGTCGTCGGCGTCATCAGGCAGGGGGTCGAGCTGATGGGCTGAATGGGAGAAGAGCCGGGGGACTTAATTTGGTTTTAGGCGTAATGATATCAATGATTAGATAGATACAAAGACGTGTAACTAAAAGCGAGGAACGATGAACCCGTATAATCTCGCCCTTGCAAGTCCAGCTTACGACCACTGGTAGACCACGTATGCATGCCGTCCTGATCCTTCACTTTTGAATCAGCTGCGTTTGATGAAATAAATATTGCCTCCGAGCAAGTAGAATAAAAAGCACTAAGCGGCGCGCGCTCTTAAAAGCATCATTAAAGTCGTATCATCTCTATCTATTACAACAACGTAAAAAAAAAATTAGTCGAAACCACCAAACAAGAAAACTGTCCACAGCAGCCTTTAGAAAGGATATTATTGATACCGGCAGTATAGCGTCCGCCACATCAAGCCGCATTCGCGGCCGGCGGGAGGACGTTGCCGAGCGTCGACGTGCTGTCCATGATCTTGTTGTCTTGGGACTGCGACCCGCGGCCGTTGAGGGTCGCCAGGTCCATCTCGCTCGACTGCGCCATGATTGGCGCCACGGTGCCCGCTCGGCTACTAGTTGGCCGCCGAGGCCGAGACGCAGCCTCGACG